ACAGGAAACAGTATTGTGTGTGTGTTTGGTGTATAATTATACTGGCCACATGACCACAGAAATGTCTTCAGTCACTGCTGGTTCCCTCGGCTAAGAAATGGCGATGACCATCCGCCCCTAGAGCCGAGGGGAAAGGGGGAAACTTTTACCTTTAACCACCTATAATCTTTCTCATGTTAATAATGCAACACATATGATGAATATGTTTGCACCCACAGGGAGGGATGGAATAATGAAAACAGCATCACACTGATGCAATGCAAGGGTTGTCTTTTTAGTACACACCTCAAGACATTGCTGGAAATGTAAATTGGCAATAGGGACCTACTACCATATGTGGTGGGAGTGCTCAAAGGCTTGTGATTTTTGGAATAAGATAAAAAAAATGGCTGGAAGAAATATTAATGATAAGAGATAGAGCTAAAACCAGAACTCTTCCTATTAGGCCTAACTACACAGAAATACGATAAAGGGATATTTTACCTGATGTTACACATTTTCACGGCTGCTAGATTGGCGTATGCACAAAATTGGAGGAATAAAGAAACTCCAACAGAAGAAGAGATCTTATACAAAATTCTATCGTGTGCCGATATGGACAGGCTCACAATGGAAATGAAGGACAAGACAGAGTCAGATTATTTTGAAATCTGGGACAAATTTTATTATTGGTGTGAATCAAGGGGGACTGTTCGGGTTATAAGCTAGTGTTAAAATAGAAATATATATAATTGTATGTTAGTATATAGATAAATAAATTAGATATTGTATTCTATAGAAAAATATGTATGTATATAGAGAGATTAAGAACTATATGTATGAAGAAAAACAAATTGTTAGAAATATGTATACTGGAATGTTACGTTATGTCCATTTTTGTTTTAACTGTATTATAAATAAAAAACTTTTAAAAAAAGACATTGCACTCATATATAGAAGGGGCGGAGCTTGTGTGTCATTTTGACAAAAGTGTTAGATCCTTTGCCTACCAACATAAGCATCCTCCTTAAAAACTGCAACTGGTAGGGTTTGTTCCTAGATAAGAAAGTGTATCCCAGCGATAAATAGTTTTCAAAACTGCAGGCACTGGTAAATGGTTGCTTTTGAGTAGCCTCCAAGTCTATTACAGATAGACCACAACTGAGGTGGTCCCTCAAATAACTTTGTTGCCTGCCATGTAGGATTTTAAAGGTCAAAAACAGCACCTTGAATTGGACCCAGAAGCAAACTGGTAACCAATGCAGACTGTGAGGCAGAAGTGTAATGTGTGCAGCTCTTGACACTGGCACATTTTGCCCCAGCTAAAGCTTCCACCACCACCATCCTGCTCGCCCCAGAGGTCATCCGAAAGTGTGACCAATGTCATTTCCATCCTATATCCCAGTGGTTCTCAACCTGTGGGTCGGGACCCCATTTGGGGTCGATCGACCATTTCATGGGGGTCGCCAAGCAAGGCTGTCCGCCATTTTTTTTGTCCACCATTTTTTTCCCCTTTTCCGGCGGGTGCCTTACCTCGCTTGGGCTGGACCAGCTGGTGGTCGGCCTGCTCCGTCTCTGCCGCTTGCCAGCTATGCCTCGGCCGGCGCAGGGGGCGGAACCACGCATGCGCGGTGCTCCCGGGCAGGGAAAGTCCTCAACTTACGACCGGTTGGATAGTCCTCGACTTACAACCGGTTTAGTCCTCGACTTACAACCGGTTTAGTCCTTGACTTACGACCGGTTTAGTCCTCGACTTACGACCGGTTGGGGTCGCGGCATTAAAAAGGTTGAGAACCACTGCTATATCCAGACCTGAATCCTGACTGAAAGGGATCCAGATGAGTCATTCCTAACATTCAGCTAAATGCATCTTCTTGCACTTTTGACGCTTATTCTGTGTTTTGCTTACTGAAGGAGCAGTCAACAAGATTTGGTATTCTTCTGTGTGACATCCCTTCACAAACTCAAATAACGCCATTTCTTCTGTCTTCTATTCTCCGGATTAAATGCTTCATTTGATGATCTGCTGCAGAATCTTTCCAGGTATTCATGTTAAACTGATGGTTTGTGTTTCTCTGCTTTTTTCCCCACTTCCCTTTCTGAAAACATTTTCTGTTTTCCAGTTACCTGGTAATTTCAAGATTTCTTAAAGATAATACAAGGATATTTAGCGAGACCATCAACAAGCCTCTGATACAATTCACTTGGCTTGGAGATTAAACTCATTCAAAGCTTAAATGTACCGTAATTCCCTTTTTATCAATCATAAGCTGCACTTCTGCTCTTCACAATGGCCAAGTGGACCACATTCATACACTCTTGTTGGAGAAGACTGATCCAAAATAGGACCTTAGTAGCTCTTTCTTTTCTTTACTTTACTTTCTTTTCTTTACTTGTTAGTGATTTGCCATCTTTGCTGACCAGCTGGCAAACTGATCCTTTGGGATTCTTTTAATTTTGAAGGTATCTGTGTCATCTATAACATCCTTGGGCAAACTGTGAATTTCAGCCACCAGACACTAGTATAGTCAAGTGCAGGAGTAGGCAACCTTGGCTCTTTTATGACTCGTGGACTTCAACTCCCAGAATTCCTGAGCCAGCATGGCTGGCTCAGGAATTCTGGGAGTTGAAGTCCACGAGTCATAAAAGAGCCAAGGTTGCCTATCCCTGGTCAAGTGAGATAAACCCTTGGGTAGTGCTTTCCTGTTGACGTAGCATCAGTGAAAGGTAAAGCAAGTGAAAACATTTGCCATGCAGTCCTCATACCGCATGTATGAGGCCAGCTATTTGTTCCATTGTAGATCTAGCTCATTCTCCATAATAAAAACTTGTTCTCTCTGATTTATGAATGACGTTGGCTACTGTACAGTATTAGGGCTGGTGAAGTTAAGCCAGTTCTTTAAGAATGAGAATAGAATAAAGAAAAACAGAGTTGGAAGGGACCTTGGAGGTCTTCTAATCCAACCCCTATACCATTCCAATATCTCAGGGGCTGCCAGAAAGAAGAGGGAGTCAAGCTATCCTCCAAAGCGCCTGAAGGCAGGACAAGAAGCAACGGGTGGAAACTAATCAAGGAGAGAAGCAACCTAGAACTAAGGAGAAACTTCCTGACAGTGAGAACAATTAATCAGTGGAACAACCTGCCTCCAAAAGCTGTGAATGCTCCAACACTGGAAGTTTTTAAGAAGAACACTAGACCAGTGGTGGCGAACCTATGGCACGCATGCCAGAGGCGGCACTCAGAGCTCTCTCTGTGGGCACGCGTGCCATGCCCCGGAGATGGCAACCGTCCCTCTTCAACCAGCCGCCCGCTAACTTGCCGAGGTCCCACAGGGCCAGATGCAGCCCAGCATGGCTGGTTTCCCTCCCCCCCGTCCCATCCCTCCTGGCCTCGCATGCTCTCCTTTTCCCAGGCACGACCCACTGCATCTATGCTTCTCTGAACTGCTGGCGGTGGGCTGCGGAGCCCCAGAGTGCGCCGATCGAGGGGCCAGCAGGCTGTGGCTGCTGACAGACACCGTTGGCCCCCATGCGCTCGCTGGCCTCTGTGTGCGGGGGCCGATGGTGTCAGGCAGCAGCCACCCCGTCCCGTCCCACCTTGCCCTGCGGCAATGGCACCCCTGCCCTGCCTCGCCTTGCCTCACCCTGCAGGACGAGCCTCCTGCCCATCACCCCACCTGCCAGAGACCCCCTGGATCTCCCCCAACCCTGCCCGGCTCCCACAGGCATCCCTCCCCATGAGCAACATCGAGGTGACCACACCCACCCAGTGGGCCACACCCACCGTCTGCCATGACCACCACAGCCACAGCCACACCCACCCAGTGGGCCACGCCCACCTGGCACCCGGCAATAAATAAGTGGGTTTTGGGTTGCAGTTTGGGCACTCGGTCTCTAAAAGGTTCGCCATCACTGCACTAGACAGTCATTTGTCTGAAATGGTATAGTGTTTCCTGCCTGAGCAGGGGGTTGGACTAGATGACCTCCATGTCCCTTCCAAATTATTATTATTATTATTACTATTACTATTACTATTACTATTACTATTACTATTACTATTATTATTATTTCAGACAAATGGCTGTCCAATCTCTTCTTAAAATCCTCCAGCATTGGAGCAGCCATAACTTCAGGAGGCAAGCTGTTCCACTGATTAGTTGTTCTTACTGTCAGGAAATTTCTTCTTAGTTCTAGATTGGATCTCTCTTTGATAAGTTCCATCTGTTACTTTTTATTCTGCCCTCAGGTGCTTTGGAGATGTTGAACCCTGCAGCAATAAGTATACACTTACCTGAGAGTAAGCCCGATTAACCACAGAGGTATTTATCTTTACATAAATAATACAGGTACAGATAATCAAGTGCAGCCGTTCTTTCTTCCCGATTCTGCCCTAAAAGGAGAGCAACACTGCCCCCTGCAGATGAAGAAAGAAATCGCCCTTCCTTGATAGGTGTTGGATTTGAAAAAAATTATATCAAGCATTGCCAAAGAATGGTTTAAGCATTCATTATGATAAAATTAATTCTAGGAAGGGGTGGCAGTAGATTAGCTGATCTTGTAAATCCTTCATTCTGATACAGGGAGGAGAAAGCAGGTCAACATAAGCATGAGCCGTAAGTAGTGTGTTTCACCACCCCCATATTTGTTGTTGTTGTTGTTTATTAGATTTTTATCCTGCCTTTTATAAATAACTTAAGGGAGTGAACACACTTAATGGTCCTTCCTCCACCTATTTTCCTCACAACAGCAACCCAGTGAGGTGGGTTGGGCTGAGAGAGAGTGACTGGTCCAAGACCACACCCAGCTGATTTTTGTGTCTAAGGTGGAACTAGAACTCACAGCCTCCTGGTGATTGGCCCAAAGACACGCAGCCAGCTTTCATGCCTAAAGCAGAACTAGAACTCCAGCTCCTGGTTTCTAGACCAGCACACTATACCAAACTGGTTCCTCATTAAAAGTAAAATACCATCAGAAAATGACCATTTATTGATTTATTATATTTGTTTATTTATTTACATTTATTTTATTACATTTCTATACCGCCCATCTCCCTTAAGTTACTCTGAACGGTTTACCATATCATAAAGCAATCTAAACACATGGTTAAAAACAGGGTTAAAAACAGAATTAAGAACAAGGTTAAAATTTACCAGTTAAAAGAGAAAATCAAAGTTTAAAAAAATCAGTTTAACAAGGCAGAGGGAGTGTCCTTAAACCATTCCCCATCCCCAGTACAGCATAATCCTTTTATACTCCCATGCTCATTGGCAGAGCCAGGTCTTAACGCTCATTCAGAAAACCAAAAGCGTTGGGGCTCACCTTGCCTCTGGGGATTAACATGCCCCAAAGTGTGGGGCAAAAGCAGAGAAGGTGTCCTACCTCATAGGTAGCAAACATAGGTAATCCAAATCAACAAAACATAATGAATATCAAGGTAAACAACAATGAGAAGATAACATAATAGTGCCTGAAGACAATCCATTTCTCCACATCACCATAATCATGCTAAAGAAAGCCACAGTGATGGTCTCACCCAACCTATAGTTCCCATCTAGCTCTTCAGTGGTTTACAAAATGCCAGCAAAGTTGGGGCCAAATGTTCTGGTGTTCTGAAAAATGGGCATTGCAACAGGGAAGGCCCAGGAGATGTTTTGGGTCATCCTTGGTGATAGCAGTGTTGATGGACCCAAGGTATCACTGGTCTGGAATAATGTAGACATCATCTACTGCTTCCGGGTTAGGCTTCCCACTATAGTTGTAATATAATTCCTGAGTATTGGCGTAGATGGGCTGATGGCCTTCAGAAGAATCTCTGCTCTCACCTTTCGATGGAGACCTGAGGACCCAAAATCCCCCAAACAAAAGAAATTATTATCATGTCCCCCTATGGAATCATTTTGATCCTCCTATCAGTTTTGATCTGATACAATTTGCATTATTGTTTTAAATCGTTTATTTTCCCTTTGGGAACCATTTTGAGGTATTTTAATGGAGCTGTTATAATAGCAAATTTATTCATCATGCACTTGTAACTAAGCACAGGCTAGATATAGCATAAAAACTGCAATTCTAAAAACATAATACAAAGGAATGTTAAATCACATTATGAAGTAAGGAGTCTTTAGAATAGTGTAGAACCTTTAAAATGTGTGAACTTCAATTCCCAGAATTCCCAGCCTGTTGAAAATCATTGGTGCTAGGCCAAATGACTTATGATATAAGGAAATTCTCTACATTCAAATTAGTGAGTAAAGTAAAAAAATAATAATAATGGCCAAGAAAATGAAGTTCTCTGTGAAATCATTACAGTGGTGAGGGGAAAAAAGTATGTTTTGCGAAGAGATGTTAACAATTTATAACTTTTTTGAAATGCGTTTTGCTGGATTTTTTTTTGTTGTTATTCTGTCTCTCACTGTTAAAGTAAACCTACCATTAAAATTGTAGACTGATCATTTCTTTGTCAGTGGGCAAATATACAAAATAAGCAGGGAATCAAATACTTTTTTCCCCTCACTCTGTGTGTGTGTGTGTGTGTGTGTGTGTGTGTGTGTGTGTAAAGAGAGAGAGAAAGAGAGAGAGAGAGAGACAGGGAGACAGGGAGAGATAGAGAAAGAGGAAGGGGGGTGTCTTTTTGATAGATTCTACCCATAAGCTTGAAGGATACACATTCCAACTTATCTCACCTTTAAGCCCCCTGCAGGACTAATTATTTTCAAAATTATCCCCCTTCCTCTCCTAATGACAAGAAATCTATTTTTATTCCATTTTGAAACTTGCCATTTGCAATTCATCATGGGGAGAAGCTTCACACACTTCCCAAAATGTGAAATGATGCTTCACCCTCACTTAAAAATAATGGGGAGGAACAGCATATGTTCAGAAAGCCTTATGGTGTTCGTGAAAAGCTAATTATTTGCAACAGTGGCGAATATCTGTAGCTCGGGTGTAGGATGAGGGTGAAGGTTCATCCTCCCATTCTGGTGGGTTGCTTTCCGAACATTTCATTACCAGGCTAGGTAACATCTTCAGTGGAGTTTAGGGAATGTTAGTGTCAGTGTTCTGTTTATAAGGGCTTCAGGTGTGGGTGTGTCAAGTGACGGTCTTGTGATGGGGAGGTTACGTCAAGTCTGGGTCATTGGGAGGTGAACTGGTGGGGGGAGGGGGCTTGTGTGTGTTGGTTGAGGGTCAATGCTGTCTCTGACTAAGGTGTCATCAATGTAGCATGTCCAGAATTTTGGTTGGATGGTGGGTAGAGCTCTGGATTCGAGTCATTGCATGATTGCTTCTGCTATTAGACCTGTTATGGATGAACCCCTTGGGGGACCTTGTACTTGCTTGTAGATTTTCCTGTTGAACTTGAAGTATGTGTTGAGGCACAGATCCAGGAGTTTCATGATGGTTTCTGTGAACGTGGAGTGTTCCATAGTGGCATCATCTTTGTGGGTATGGTGTTTCGTGAGTAGGTGGTGTATGGTTTGTTTAGCCAGGTCGATGTCACCTACTCACCTTCGTCATCGTCAGACACTCCCAAATTGGAGAAACACACCACCTACTCAATAATATATTCCCTGGGATCTAATTTTCATGCAAAGAGTAAATAGACAGTAGACTCCCATTCCTTGACATCGACATAAAGAAATTGGACAAAGGAGAACTGGAAACCCGTGTCAACCACAAACCTACACAGACGGACCAGTTTCTCAGCTTCACAAGCAAACACCCTACCGCACACAAAAGCAGCTGTGTCCAGACCTTCTTCAGAAGGGCCAGGACACACCACAGCACCACAACACTAAGAAAAGCAGAAGAGAAACGGCTGCTTGACGTCTTTCTCCGTAAGTGCCATCCAAAAAACTTCATATTCCGACACACAGCACCCAAACCACAATATACCACATAGCTGGACACCACGCAAAAACTAACCCTATCATAAGCAAAAGGGTTGTTGGAAATGACAGCCAGAATTCTCCAATCCTTAGAAATAACAATAGCCCACAAAGCCACAGCCACACTCCGGCAGGAATTATCCAGAACAAAAGACAAGACACGGAAGAATGAAAGAAGCAATGTCCTCTACAAAATCAACTGTAACGATTGGAACCACTTCTACCTGGGATAAACATCACGTCAATTGAAAAACAGGATCCACGAACACCGGCTGACAGTCAAACGCCACGATCCCAAATCCTTAATCTCTACCTACGCCAACACCAAACAACACCAGTTCAATTGGAGCAACACTAAAATCATCAGCCATGCTACCATCCACCACACTCGTGAGTCATGGAAGACTGGCACTCCACAAGCAATTCCATCCACAGACACACTGACCTACAACCAGCCTAGGAACCCCTCAGAATCCAAACCCCACCACCCAGCCAAGAGGAGACAGCACCGACGCTCAACCAATCCACGCAAGCCCCCCTCCCACCAGCAGTTCACCTCCCAGTGACCCAGACCTGATATGTATCCTCCCCCATCACAACACACCTGATCCATCGCAAGACCCATCAACTTGACACACCCACAACTGAAGCCCTTATAAAAAGAAGAACACTGATATCCCCCAAACTCTGAAGTTGTTACCTCGCCTGGTATCAAAAAGTTTGGAAACCAACCCACAAGCTCAGAGAACGAGCCTTCACCCTGAAGCTAATTGTTTTTTACATGTGTGTGTATTTCTTTTATACGGTGTCTGCCTGTATTTGAAGAGGTGTTTCAGGTTTACTATTATTTATTAAATTTCTATGGCAGCCATCTCACTGGTACAGCAATTCTGGACTGCTTAAAATATAATAAAATGTTTAAGCTTTTCAGTAAAGTTTAAAAATCTGGCTATGCTCCGAAATCTGGGGGGCTACATGCAACCAGGGCCCCGTCTCCTAGCTATATTCTTAACAGGCCAGACATCCTGCTTTGCATGTACTTTGAATTGGACGTTTTAATGTTTGCATTGTTTTAATGCTTTTTACTGCTTTTATTGTTTTAAAATGTTTTTAAGATTTTAATTGTAATATATTTTTTGAATTTTGAGCCGTCCAGTGTCTTTTGTTGAGATGGGCAGCTATAGAAGTTAAACAAACAAACAAACACATAGATAAATAACATCTCAGCCCATAGGAGAAATGGGGCCATGGGAAGCATCTCACAAGGGACCCTCATTCTCCAGGGAGTAAAGGCAAGGAGGGGGAGAGGTGCTTTCAGACTTGCAAGTTTCTGTTACTGTAACCTTACAAAAAAAGTACAGGTAGTCCTTGACTTACAACAGTTCATTTAGTGTCTGTTCGAAGTTACAACAGCACTGGAAAAAGTGACATGATAAGTTTTCACACAACCGTTGCAGCATCCCCATGGTTACATGATCAAAATTCAGATGCTTGGCAACTAACTTATATTTATGATGGTTGCAGTGTCGGTGTGTGTGTTTGTGTGTGTGTGTGTGTGTGTGTGTATCATGGCATCCCCTTTTGCCACCTTCTGACAAGCAAAATAAATGGGAAAGCCAGATTCCCTTAACAACTGTGTCACTAAATTAACAACTGCAGTGATACACTTAACAACTACAGCAGGAAAGATAGTAAACTGAGGTAAAATTCACTTAAAAAACTGTCTCACTTAGCAACAGAAATGCTGGCCTTGATTGTAGTCGTAAGTGGAGGACTACTGGTAGTTTTAATTCTCGTGGTTTTGGTTTCCTGTCTGAATTTCTTTGAAGGGCTGACCCTAAGTCACCAAACCTCGTTTTTGTAATCTAGAGAAGAGGAATGAGATGTAAGTCGGTGAAAAATGGGAACGTGGGACTCTCATCTGCTTTTTCGTGACCAAAGAGAAAGACTAAATCTCTTTCTGTTATAGGTGGTCCTTAACTACCTAACAAATACATAAATAAATCTAAAAATAAAATAAAATTAAAAAAAAATTGAATACAGGTAATCCTCAACAGTTCACTAAGTGAACTGAAAAAAGGGGACTTATGACCTTTTTTTCACACTTATGGCTCACATTTATGCAGTGTCCCAGGATCTGTCAAGCAAAGCTAAAGGGGAAGCCACTTTACAACTATGTTACTAACTTAACAAATACAGTGATTCACTTAACAACTGTGGCAAGAAAGGTTGCAAAATGGGGCAAAACTCCCTTAACAATTATCTCGCTTAGCAACAGAAATTTTGGACTTAATTGCCGTAAGTCGAGGACTACCTGTAAAAAAGTTAAAAACCAAGATAATGGGCAGCCTGGGGCTCTCCTCTACCTGGTCAGCCTCCCTTAATGTAGCAGTCCTCTGCTGAGGTCCCCCAGGCCAAGTAGCAGAGCCAGGAATGGGGGGTGGTCATCTCCCATAGGAGACTATTCCAGAGGATGAGGGCCACAGCAGAAAAGGACTTTCTCCTGGACCCCGTAAGCCAAAATTCCCTGGCAGATGGGATCCGAAGTAGGCCGTTAATGCTGAAATGAGCAGGGTGGGCTATGCCCATTGGGGTCAGGCAATTCCTCAGATAACGTGGATCCATGCCAGGAAGGGCTAAACCATGCTAAGCATCTTGGGTGATTTCAGTTGAAAACATGTCAAGTGCTTTCACTGGAGGGGTAGATGATGTGAGTAAATTCTCTTTCAGAAACTTTTTAACTCAAGTGTTTGACATTTAGGATAGGGATAAAAATATAAGCCCTTCTATTCAAATAAAAAAGCCCTGTCTAGTCCAATATCTTAACTCCACCAATTTACTGTCAGAAGAAGACTGTTCCTATGCATAAAAGTTCCATGACTAATGGTTGCTGACAGACCCACCCTAATTAATAAGAATTCTACCAGATCACACTGAGCTCCGTCATGGG